AGAAGCTACTAGTAACATAGGGCATCGCTACTAGGAGCAAGAAGCTAGTAGCAACAAAGGGCATCGCTACTAGGAGCAAGAAGCTACTAGTAACATAGGGCATCGCTACTAGGAGCAAGAAGCTACTAGTAACATAGGGCATCGCTACTAGGAGCAAGAAGCTACTGGCAAGAAGCTACTAGTAACAAAGGGCATCGCTACTAGGAGCAAGAAGCTACTAGTAACAAAGGGAATCGCTACTGGGAGCAAAAAGCTGCTAGTAACAAAGGGCATCGCTACTAGGAGCAAGAAGCTACTAGTAACAAAGGGAATCGCTACTAGAAGCAAGAAGCTACTAGTAACAAAGGGAATCGCTACTAGGAGCAAGAAGCTACTAGTAACAAATGGAAACACTACTGGAGCAAGAAGCTACTAGTAACAAAGGGAAACGCTACTAGGAGCAAGAAGCTACTAGTAACAAAGGGAATCGCTACTAGGAGCAAGAAGCTACTAGTAACAAAGGGCATCGCTACTAGGAGCAAGAAGCTACTAGTAACAAAGGGCATCGCTGCTAGGAGCAAGAAGCTACTAGTAACAAGGGCATCGCTACTAGTAGCAAGGGCATAGCTACTAGTAGCAAGCATCGCCACTAGTAGCAAGGACGCTACTAGTAGCAAGGGCATCGCTACGAACGGAGCAAGGACGCTACGAACGGATATGAAGTAAACAAACTGTCGGCGCGTGGAAATGAAATACACACGTCGTCTGCAACGGTCCAGGTCTCCTGGTTGGCCCAGGTGTCAAGCAACGACCATCGGTCCAGGTATCGCCATCTGATGCCCGGCTTTACCCAGGCACTTCCTGAGCCTGGCGAAGTGAAGACGAACGGACCCTGGTGACATGAAAGAGGATCCGTAGACTCGCTGAGCGTTTTGGTCCGATTCTACTACCTACTAGCTTCTTGTTACTAGCACCTTCTTGCTACTAGTAGTAATGGCCTCCAACCTAATAGCCGAATAGCGATGACTTCCACCTAGTAGCATGAAAGTAGACTCGTTGAGCATGTTTTTCTCTTTGTAGGTCATGTATCAAAATGTCTACCAATCACAAAATACCACCGATAATTGAACAATCTTTAACATGGATTCTGTATCAATCATCGCAGTCACCAGTCTTTTGAAGTGAGTTGTCCAATCGAAGTCGTTCCACCCAAACCGTTCCCAGACCCTTCCCCACAGGTGTCCACAGTCTGCCACGGCGGCGCCTTCCACGAAAACCTTCACACTGGGAGGGAAAATCCCTTGGTTCCTAGGGCTTGTGACCTCAGCGTGGATCCGCGCAGTGTTGGCACGGAGCTTTCAAAATCTGGGGTGAACTCCATGGCAAATCAACGCCTAAGCAACAGTTTTTGTGAACTCCAAAATGCTGAAGCCCAAAAAGACTCGGGGTCTGGAAGTTCCATTTGGGCATCACTCTGTGAGAAGGCCGATAGCCTCAGGTCCAGTCGGGATCTTGCTTGAAAAGTAGTTAACATCATCCACAACATCTGTTCTTCGTGTCTTTTCCCGAAGGCTTTGAGACTTTAGTGAAAGGCCTTGTTTCAGGTGTTTATACAAGTCGTTGTCCCAGTGTCTCTCAATTTTGACGTTGCCTTCAGTGGTCTGTGGCCGCAGGCCAGCCTTCACTGTAGGCAGGTTTGGTACCCAAGAACCCTAGGCATCCGAGGAAAAACACTCGCCATCGCAAAGGGGTGCGACTGGCAATGAAACTTCGCTTCACTTCTTCGAGCTGTCGCTGCCTGATGCATTTAGTACAAGGACGCTAGCGGGTGGCTCCTGGCCTTACTAGTAACAAGAACGATACTAGGGGCTCCTGGCCTTACTAGGAGCAAGGACGCTATTAGGTGCCTGACGCATTTCACATAGGTGGCTGCGACCTCAGTCACTGAGGTCCCGTCTTTTCTTCGACGCGTGCTTCCGAAAGGGTGGAAGAATCGAAATCGACTCGTTGTTGAAACCACGCAGTTTCAAGGACGCTACGAACGGGGCTCCTGGCCTTACTGCTGGGAGCAAGGACGCTACGAACAGAGCAAAGGGCATCGCTACGAACGGAGCGAGGTTTCACGCTACGAACGGGGCTCCTGGATATTGGGTTCCTAGAGTTCCACCGTAGTTCCACCCCCACCCACCGTCCCACCCATGGAAGATCAGACTACGCCTCGGTGACGGCGCAGGTGTACTGGTTGAACTTGACTGTCACAGGGGCCTCGGTGCAGCGTTTGCCGTCCTCGGGTCTCACGCCACATTGGGAAGAGGATCTTGAAACCAAAACTGATGGAAAGGTGGCAAGAAAAGACCACAAAACTGATTGCAAAGTCAATCCCCTTTGAAGATGTTTCAGAAATTGCTCTGTTCTCCAGCAATCGATGGTCGCTAGTCACTAGTCCTTTTTGCATGCATCTCACCAGCTGGATGTCTTTATTGCTGCGTTTGAGTAACCACAGTTGGGCATGTAAGTTGAGTCAATGAGAGAGTATTCCCTTCCATTTTAGCAATTTCCAGTTCAGAAACCAAGGAGTGACAAAGACATCATCGCCCGAGTTCGAGTTCAGCTTGAATCGCATGAAAAACTCATTGATCCTTCAGATTCCTTCCTAGGTTGGAAGCCATTTGGTTGGAGGCCATTCCTTCTAGGTTGCAAGCTATTAGATAAACTATGATAAACTCATTATAACTCATTGATCCACACCGGACTCCGGCTGCCTTTTTGGGGGGCAAAACTCCGAAGAGCGCGCGCGTCGCGGAAATTCAATCGAGGTCGCGGGGTCTGCCGTGCACGGCGGATCTTGGAGCAGACCCGCTGTGTGGCGGATCGTGGAGTGGGGAGGAGGGTCCACCCCGTGCCCGTCTGTCCACAGAAACGGTTCATCGAAACCTCCCAAAGAAACCAAGAGATTACAATAGATTTGTATAGTGCTTGATATTTGAAGGAACATGGGGCGAAGAAGCATATTCTTGACTATGCGAATCTCATGTTCACCTGCACTTGGGTACAGCTTCTTTTTGAATGGTGTCTTGTCCAGACCAAAACGTGCATCAACCACTATAGATTGTTGTCTGAAAGACTGGCATGGTCGGATGACAATGCTTTGGTCACGCCAGCTAGGACCCTGGTGGAATGTCTCACCTCTGGGATTCTCGAACTGAGTGGCAAACATTGTTGTTGAGAATATCATGATGTTGATCCCAAATGATGCCTCGAAGGATCTCAAGAGATGTGATCATTCCGTATCTTCCTGGTCTGAAGAACTCCAAACCTCCATACCCACTTGCCCTTCTGGACCAGACCTTCTTAGATGATCCTGCTACACCATACCCACCTGAGTGTGGCTCAACCTAGGAAACCAAATCAAACTGGTAGGTCCTGCCCTCCAAGGTCAGAGACCCTGCGGAAACTTCTGGGCCCTTCCACTTTGGAAGCACGCCCGCCAGTCATGTGAAATCCCCATCTCGCGGGGGCGGCTTCCCGGGTTGGCCGCTGTGGCGGAAGTATGTGTGGCAGCTCCAAGGGGCCACGATGACTTCATGGGACTCGTCATGGCCATCGCTGAGTAGGTTGGAGGCCATCGCTAGTACGACAACTTCATGGGACTCTTCTGAACAATTACAATTTGTTTTCGATCTGTACTGACAGTAGGATTCACTTACTTAAACTACGTGGTGCTTGACTGCTGTAGTCTGTGTACCATGTACCATGCACCATGTACCATGTACCCAACCCAGTGTACCATGTACCAAAACTGCCTACTATGTACAATTCACATGGTACGATCATGAGAGGGAGACAATGACAATGCAATAATACCCAGTTCTGTAGACAAAACATATATATATATGTCAATACTCATCACTAAGCACCCAACCCTGGAACAAACGAACCAAAGAAACTGATGTCTGAGAAAATCCTGCCAGTGATGCAAGGCTTGGGGTGGAGGTCTTTGGGACCTTTCCCTTCCTGGAAGGCCAAATCTTGAAAGAATTAAACTTAATGCTAATAGCTTCCAATAGCTTCTTGTTACTAGTAGTAAGGCACTTGTTACTAGTAGCGATGCACTTGTTCCTAATAGCTTATTCTAATTACGTTTAAATTATTGTTTCTACTAGCAAACATTGTTACTACTAGTAAGGCACTTGTTACTAGTAGCGATGCACTTGTTACTAGTAGCTTCTTGTTACTAGAAATGCACATCGAACAAGATTGAACATCGAAGTCAAACCTCCCCTCCCGAACCCCTGAGTACTTCCAGCTCGAAACCTCTCGCCACCTGTTGAACATGTCAACGCATCAACACCCCAGGATTCTGCCACCTATTCCAACTCCGGGAATTTTCCGGCAGGACACCGCCTCCCTCCTTTGGGGAGGACTCTCTTCACGTGATGCAACAATTGGCATCCTGCACTTCTGCGGCGGACACGCTGGCCACCGCGCCTTGCCCTCCAAAGGCGCCCACCGTCTTCAGGTGCCCGGGGTTGTTCATCTGCTGCGCATAGGTGTAGCCTCCCACAGAGAGAGAGAGAGAGCGTAATAGCGATGGCCTCCAACCTAATAGAGTTATGTTGGGCAATGGCAGCCATACATGACCAACCATCAACTAACTTTTTTGCGAAAAAAAGCGGAAAAATGAGAAAACAAAAGTAAATGAAAGTGCAAAAGCAGCGCAATTTACTTTGTTTGTGCATGTGTTGTGTTTCTTTTTTTCCTGGTACCACTTCTGCACTTATGAGAACTTCTACCCATCAGCAATATTTGCTGTACGCTCCTAGGAAGAAAGCGAAAAACTACGAGAAAAGAACAAGCGAAAATAAGGCGAACAAAAATGTGAAAATAAAGCGACAAACACGCAGCTCCTCGTATCTATGGCTGGCGCGCCCGACATAGAGAGAGAGGGAAGGACGGATGGGGAAACACACGTTTCGCCCCAAAAAGCCGACTCTGCAGGTCTGAGACCTTTGACAGCTCAGATGGGCGGTTTCCCTTGGAACCGAATCTGTTCACCGGATATTGGGAGCGCTTCCACGAGCATCGTGCTTTGCAATGGGGCCGATTCCAAGTTGGCGCTTCGAGCATTTCGAAGATATTGAGCTCCGATTCCAATGGCCCAGTTCAGTGAGGGGGGGCTTCTTTGTCCATGTGGATCAGTGTACCTCACGTCTAGAATGTCCGACTGACTTGGTGCCTTGCATATCCAATGACAGGTCCTCCAAGCCGGCCAAGGGATTTCGTATCCTCAGAGCAGCGGAAGCGGGGCCGCGCTGGAAGCAGTGGTGCGGGCACAGGAGCACCAAGTCAGGAGCAGTTGGAAAGGAAGGCGCACGTCAAGAGGTGCAATGCAATAACAGTGCTCAATGATACTCAATGAGTACAAGGACCAGGTGAAACTCCTTGGACCGCTTCGACTACTAGGCTGAAATGATCGAAGTGGATTTGGGCGGAAGTGACCCTTTGATGTGCCCATTGAAACATACTGAAGCTTCTCTTCTCTGAGCGAACATAGGGGCGGGTTGATGTAAAACTAGATCCGCAAAAAGTCTGACCAGAACTGATTCGCGGCATTCAAAAGAAGGCCCATGTGACAACAGCAACTCATGACTCGACCAACGCAAGTCGATCTTTCATAGAATCCCATAGAACATATTACATGGCTTTAATTTACCACTTCAAAGAATTCTGTTGATGGTTCTTCCATGTTCTTCCTGAACTCATTTCTATTGGCCTTTTTGGGTTTGAGTCACATTCGGGACTCTGTGCGTTTGTTCTGTGCCCTCCGTCTTCCCTGAGCAACCGACCTGACATCGGGCATGTTGGGCATCCCCGGTAGACCTCGTTGTGCTTTTGAGGACTCAGGTGGCTTAGGTGGCTCGGGTGGAACACCAGAGACCCAACGACGGATGGGAGTCTTGATCATGGTGACCAAGGAACTCTAGACCAGTGAGAGTACTGTCACACTCTTGGATGGAGCTTTCGCAGCTGTTGGGATGGTGTTTAAGTGGTGAATGAGGCATGAGTGAAGTGGTTCTCGATCAACAACGCCTTTTGATGTGTGTTTGCTGGTGGCTCGCACCCCAAAGTGCCAGACTGGAAGTCTTGCAACCTCTCTCTCACACATCTGGGAAGGGTCTTCCGCCCTCCCACTGATGCCGCCTGTTCACCCAGGTGCCGCCCGCCTGGTAGTCCAATGTCAGGTAAACCAGGCAGCCCAAGACCCGGAAGTCCCGGTCCTGGGCCCACTGCAAAGCCAGAGAGGTCCGTCTGCCTCAGGGTGTGAACGGGCATCTTGTTGGTTCATCGGTGCCCGGAACGGCTGAAGAGCCTCCTTCTCCCAAAAAAAACAACTGTGCCAGGGAATTTCAAGCGAAACCTCTACACTTTGGAAGATGATCTTGGAGGCCATCGCAAGTAGCTTTCTTCAGTCCAGCGACGTGGTTTTGTTCTTCGTGGTTTTTCGGGGTCCCTTGGAAACACGTCTGCAAAGGAGTGTTCATGGCCATACTCTGGTGACACCTGGTTGGTTTCAATCACGAAGCTGATTCATAGGCGAAGGTGGATCCCATGTTCTGAAAAAAAAGGAACTAAGTCCTCGCGTGAGTCTGCTTAAAGCCAGCAGAGAATATTGAGAAAGCAAGTTTCAAGGCACACACGACACCGTAAGTTTCTGAGCATGGTTTGTTCAAGTGGCTGGTTTTCCAACTAACACAACTATTGGTCGTCGGACTCGAGTTGGACTCCTCAAGTCTGCCGCGCGGCAGCTGAGCATTGGCCATGGGTTTTCCACGACCTTCAGCTTCATCGAACATCCTCATTTGGCGCGGGCAAACTGGAACGATCTCATTTGGGATGTGCATGTTGAGTTTCGACATAGGGCACACCTGCTGATGAAGTTCTTCCACTGGTAGTTGGGGAAAAGCTGAACCCACTGTTGCCCTGCAACACCAACAAGAACCTCCCCAAGAAAAACGAATTGGCCAAAGCACCAAGGGACAGGAGAAATGACCGCATGTCAAACAGACCGGACTTAGCTGTTTGTCTCGGAGAATAGGAATCAGTCGACGTGCTGTTCCAAAGAGAGCCCCATCATTTGGAGACATGATCGAATGGCTCCTGAAGTGCTTCATCTTTGAGTCTTCACTTGGCGGACTCCACTTGATCTGATTGAATGAAAGACCAGGTGCCTTGGTCGAGAACCCGTCTTTGGCAATTTTTGGCTGCGTTCTTTCTTGGTTTTTGGCCCCACGGAGAGTCGTTCCTCTCTCCAGCGCCAGGCGTCTGTGGCAACTTTTCGCTCAGGGCGTCCACACGCTGAAAGCCACAAAGCGAGTAGGGGATGGCATTCCTCGTGGGGTTGAAGAGCGTCTTCGGCGTCCGACCGTCGCGGAAGAGCGAGGGAACCCTCAACAGCGTCTGGCCTCCACCCAAAAAGCGTGGTGGGATGGACGTGAGATGTCGTGCCAAAAGAGTGGCTTGAGGCGTGAGATGGCGTGAATGTTGAGAAGTGATTGCTCTTGGTGGATTCCAGGTGCATAGTGTGTTTCTTTATACGGTGTCGTGTGTACTCTTTTCAGTGCCTTATCAGGAAGCGCAGGAAAATACCCAACAGTATGCTCAGTGGAAACCAGCAGACAACTCAGACAACAATCTTCAGGACTGGCAAACTCATCCACCCACCAGACCAACCTCCATCAGTCTATTCCTAACCGCCTCCCCATCAGACCATCCTGGCTTAAGGACCGACCGACTGAGGGACCGGTCAAGTGTCAAGGGCATGGAGGGATTCACCGCGATCCAGGAGCGATGCTGCGTGATGGGCTTCATCACCAAGGGCCGCGTGGAGTAGCAGCGGAAGATCATCCGATGGCAGGTGTACTTGGCCTAAGGTGGGTGAAAAGAAAAGAGGCGACATGATCTGGCCCAGGCAGGCACACATAGATATCCGTAGGATATGCCCATATAGGCTCACCAGTTGACAGTGAGATGGGTTGGATGGTTACACTGAGGAGTTCCTTCTTGGATTTGTCGCAAGCTTTCACTCTTGGGTCGACCTCATCCGTGCTTCACGGATGAAAATGTTCACCACTCACGGTCACTCGTGATGTACAGGTGTCGCCGAGACAGGTGTCGCCGAGTCTAAGAGTCTCATCAAACAAGAGAAGACCAAGTACACAAATCTGCCCAAATGGAAGTCTGGAATGCGGAAGACGCCCCCAGCACGTCAATGGAACCACCCCTTTTTCTTCTAGACCAAAGCCAAAATCATCACTGCACAACTTCTAGAAGTCGGAATCGGCGCGGCGGCCCCGTAACCCCTTTTCGGGTCCCAGCTGGGATGGACACCATGGCCAAATACTTCCCGGGCTTCATCACCTGCAACGATCGCTCAGCAATCCAGGTGAAAGTGACGGTTTTTCACGCAGCGCTCCATAAGAAAGGCTAGTAGGTTGCAGGCCATCGCTCTTAGGTTGGAGGCCACTTTGGAGATCGCGCCGAGGTCTCCAGCTGATTTCTGTCTTTTTGTGAGTCAACAGTCGCAAGATGTAAGGCCTGTGATCAACATGGAAGCGCCCTTTGCATGCCATTGGCTGGAAAGAGAGAACACATTTCAACATGATTCAACATGATTCATGGCTTTTTGGGGGATCCCCGTAGAGGCGCCTCGTCTTCCGTTTGGGTGTTTGTCCTTTCTTTCACTTAAGGTCTCGAGATCACCGGCGAACGCCCTCGCCGCCCTCGCCTTGACGCTGCAACTGGCATCACGCGTGTGGCCCCAGGCAGACATGTGGACCATGTAGATCTCTCCCCCTCCGTTGTCATCCACATCCTTGCTGCACCTCGGCACTAGTCACTATAGTAGCTTCAGGTTACTTTTGCTGGCCAGGCCTCCAATCTACTTCGATTCTCCGGTTCCTGTTCCCAGTCGATCCACGCTCCCTCCGTCGCACGCTTCGCCTCCGTCCCACTGTCGTGGACCCGAGAGGCTGGAAGAAGCGCAAGAGCAGTGGCGCCTGCATGGCCCGCGACAGCTCCGGGGTGTCGTGGTTGTCGCCGTAGCGCAGATCGGTCTGGGTCACTTCCAGGACCAGTTCGTTGGGCGTCTCTAAGATCCTCGGTCGGGGCCGTTGGGATGGGTTGGGATGTGTTGGGAAGAGGGAGATGCGTGTGTCAGCAACATGATTCGACCGTGTTGAGTAATATGCCTTGTCCGAAGGCTCAAGGCCTTCAAGTGGTCTCTTCAGACATCAAGGTCAACTATACGGTTTTCAATTGTTGATTCGACCAAACCAAGAAATATCGCTGCGTCTCACTCATTCCTCATGCTTTCCAACTCTGCTGCCAGCACGACTTGGCAGAGAACCGCGTGAAATAAAGCTGTTCAGCTTAGTTTACCTTCCACAAATGCATGTTGAGGGTCTGCGTTGCCTTTTGGTTTAGGCAATAGGCTGAGAAAGTGAGAATGCCCAAGATTGATGATTCAAAGGTATCTTGTCCAAATATTGTCCAAAGCCCCTTCTCACGTTGGCCATCCTCAACCATTCATCAAGGGAAGAGAACCTGTGGGAAGATCCTTTTGGTGTTGGCGAAATCTCCCACAGCCGCGAGTCAGACCGCGAGTGCCTCCACAGCCCGACTGATTGTTTTCCTAAACAGGTCCAGGCATCTCCATAAGGAAGCTCGGGGAGGTCTCTGTATAGACATCACCTCCAAACGACACATCTTTTCTTTTGGGGAGTTCGCTGGTGAGAAATTTGCCGTTTTGGGGGGTGTGCCTGGCGATAGAATCAGCACACAAGAACTCCGATAAGGGGATTCCATCACCTGGGCTCCAAATCGAAAGTAAAAGCTGTTTTCATTCCATAGGAGGCCATCGCTAGTAGGTTGGAGGCCATCGCTTGTTACCGTCAGGATCCATCGGGTGGGCAACTCCCTCACCCCGACCCAAAAATGCACTGGAACCACTGGCGGCAGGCCCTGAAGCAGTTGGATTCAAAGACTCAGACCGTCCTTACCTGCCTTTGAAGCACAACCGCCGTACCAATCTCTGCAAAAAAAAGAAACTGCAACTCGAACCCGGTTTTACATCTTGTTGTAATCCCTGCTTCTCTCTTCTACTTAGATTCTACGCACCGATGCACCCACCTTGAAAGGCATAGATCTCCTCGAAGAAGGCTTCACCCGGGATCCAGCCCGGCGAGAGGTTCCCCAACGTCGAGATGGAGTTCACCTCGACGCCCAGACGTCCGGTGAGACGGGAGGCTTCGAAGCGACAAACTGCTCTGGTTTGTGAAGCCAGCTAATGCCCAACAGAGAGGGCACCTGACAGTGTTTGTAGTAGGAATCTAGGGATATATGTAATGTAGACTGATGAACAAAGAGGTTTTACAATCCAAATCGGGGAGGAGGATTTGTGCCGCATATGTCTACAGAGCTTTCCACACAATTCTTCGGGAAGGCCCCCGCGCCAGCCGGCACTCGTAGATGGTGTCGAAGAGCTCCACAAAGTCGTCGATCCGCAACCAGACCTTCCAACACGAGACTTGCGATGTTTCGGGAGAACAACTAGCCTCGCTAGCAGCTTGGAGGACAATGGCAAGTAGCTTGCAGGCCATGGCAAATAGCTTGGAGGCCATCATTTAGCAGCTTGGAGGCCATCGCTAGCAGCTTGGAGGCCATCGCTAGCAGCTTGGAGGCCATCGCTAGCAGCTTGCAGGCCATCGCTAGCAGCTAATTGAAGAAGCGGAGTTGATTAGATTAAAACGTTAATTGTCAACATGTCATCTCCGCCAGGTCGCGAAGCCCTCGGCGATGCCATAGCCCTCAGCCACGGGCACTTTGCAGCTCGGCATCCGGGCCACCGCCAGGCTGGGCGCCGACATGCACACGCACACCTAGGAGGTTGGACGCCATCGCAAGCAACGCAAGTAGGTTGGAGGCCATCCCAATTAGGGTGGAGGCCATCCCAAGTAGGTTGGAGGCCATCGCAAGTAGGTTGAAGTCCATTTCTAGTAGGGTGGAGGCCATCGCTCTTTTTTGTTCTTTTCGACAGAGCTACTCTCGTAGCTCATGGGGTGCTCCGCCGGAGCCAATGCGTCCTAGCGACGTATGGCACACCTTCATACTTCTGTAGCCGGAAGATGGCCGAAGCATAGTGCTGCTCCATGGGTATTCTCCTCTTGGAGCATTCCTGCGGAACAGAAAACCCAGATGCAGAAGCTTATGCCTAGCTTACATGACAGCTTCATTCTGAACATATTCATGATCGTGCTGCCTCAAAAAATTGCAATCTTGAAGACTCTATCTTTCCGCCTCTACGCAAACCCATTTCTCGTAACATTCGAGTTCGACCCCGAAAGAATCCACGAACAGCTAATCACGGTCCTTGTCGTTGATGTTACAACCAAACAGGCACATGTCTTGCAGGAAGTACATGTATTGCCAGAGTCTATCTTGCGCGACGTCCTCCGTTCGAATGACGTTGAAATGGATAGAAATGGCAACACAAAGAGCCCAGAAGATTCGGATGGGAAAAGTTTCAACAACTGAACACAAATTGAGTACCATGCAACACCTGACGCTCGGGAACTGTGCATTTGATCCCTTTTCAAGTATACACCATGTAACATATGTCTGTCGCATGGACCGGCTTTAGCTCCCCAGCCCAAATGCACCGACCAACTGGGAAATGAACTTCGAGTCTCCGCCGTTCCGAAGCGCGTGGAGCATCCGCCGGTGAGGTCAGTCATCACCTATCGCCAGGGCAATGAACGGAGGAATCCAAAAGAGGACTGTTGATGGAAGAGTTTACTGGGCCTCTGAGGCCTCTGAGATGAAGGATTTGGTCATGTGGGAGTTTGAGTGGGAAGCAAGTAGTTTCTAGGCCCTGTTGACGGCGTTCCTGGGTCTCTCTTGTCATTGCCCGGGCTCCGGGCAATATTCAAGTACCCTTCTGAAAGCATATCATGTCCAACAATTTAATTCTATTCTGGGCAAGCCAGGCAGGACCTCAACACCTCCTCCCCAAACCCCTTCCATATCAAAATCCAATCAAAATGAACTCAAAGGCAACACACCGGCCTCCCACCTAAGAGCGATGGCCTCCAACCTACTACCAGTAGCGATGGCCTCCACCCTACTAGCAATGGCATCCACCCCACGAAAAGACGGTGTTCACCGGTAACAACACCGTCGCCTCCTCGACGTGTCCGCCGCCGCCCAGGCTCTCCCAGCTGCCGTGGAGCTTGGCGTAGGCCTTCTCCACCAGCGCCGGCCACGGCAGACTCGGCCAGAACTCGGTCCTGCCCGTGGCAGAACTTGGTTGGAGGCCGCTGTTAGGTTCGAGGCCATGGCTAGTAGGGTGGGCCTCACAAGGTGGAACTTGGTCCTGCCCGTGCACCGCCATGTTTTCCAAAAAGAGCCCAAAAGAACGGCGCGTGGACAACATGGAATATGATGTTCTTTGCGTCGGCAAGAGTCAGGGAGGCTCAATGATTCATTCGTGTTTGTGTCTTGTTGGTCGAACAACATGAGGATTGGCGCAGCGTTGATTTGAAACGAGTGCATCGACTGCTTGGCTCCTGGACTCTACTTGAGATACTCCAAGGTCCTGTGATTCTATGTGATTCTGTGCACCTCCGTTGAAGGAAGAACTCCCTTCTTTGTCAAGTTCCACGGTGTTCGGGTGCTTGACGTAGGGTATGGAAGATGCCACACAAGGTTCTATCCACTCTATCCGCTGTCTTCGTTCCACCATCCCCATTCTTCGCTCTCGCCTCCCCAACCCATCCGACTGTGCCTGGCGGTCAATGGGTTCATGGCGCGGTCGAAGGGTATGGCATCATCAATCACGACGTGATGCCATTGACCATGTTTGTAGAGTCGCAAGATGTAGACTCCTTCGGTGCGAGCCCGATGCCCCATGCGAGTCAGGTGGCACGGTGCCCCGAGGGAGTGAGTTGACAGCGAGAGGTAGACCCGAAAACAGACGCAAGCGAGGGTCCCAGGGTCTCTTCAAGCTCCTGGAGTGCTTGCAGTGGACCACTGTGAAAGACTCCGCCTAATCTGTGGCCTGAAGTGGAAATGAAAAGACCTGACAGTAGCCAACAGCCAAATCATGAGGAGCCTGGCGCCTTCCTCAAACCACGGTGCCTTCTCCACCCGTGGTGCACGTTACAAACGTGCACGTCCACAGGACCAAGTCCCTCACAAGCTCAGGAGAGGACGCCGGACGCCGGTAAGGAAACCCTTAGAGCTCGGGAAACCAAACCGAACCCCCAATGGAACAGTAAATTTATGTGCAAGTGGCTGCAAGTGGCTGCAAAATGGAAAATCAAAATGCGCACCTCGCGAGCTCAATGAAAATTCGTCTAGATTCCAAGCGAAGCACACACACTCTCGGTATTCAACAGAATTTCATTCAGTTAGGAAAAAACAAACCTGGGCGCCACTCCATCCCAGTTCAGAATGTGTCCTGTGGATGGGTCAGAGAACTTCATGTCCGCAAAGATTTGTCCGATTAACCAAGGTTTCATGGCTACCGCCTGCATCCCCGCAATGAGGTAGAAGTCCTCCAGGATCCCTGACGCCGGCCACGCGAGACTTGTCTTTTCTCTTTTTGTGTCTTTTTTTAGCCCGCAGGGGGGGGGGCCTAGGCCGCTAGTAGCTAGGTTAGCTAGTAGCTTACTTGAGCTACTAGGAACAGGACCTGGGTGACCTGATGGTCACGTTAGTCACTCTTAATTAGTATATAGGTTAAGGTATCGTTCGTTAACAGAATCAACCAAACAAATCACTCCACCAATACAGAACGGCATTTAGCACAATCATCTCTTCACCCAGTCTGAATGTCAAGAGAACCATGTCTGTGAGAAAAGGGTCTTGCGGACTCCCCTTCAGAGATTGGACACCCTTCGGTGATTCTCCTTGAGGAAGAAGAGTTTTTGAGGAAGGCCAAAACGGGGCTCACCAACAATCACTCCAAATCAAAAACCCCTCCAACCTACTAGCGATGGCCTCCAACCTAATTGTTGAGAAACACAGAACCCGCACTGAGAAGATGCGTGCAAAATCCGCCCACGCCTTGATAAATCCGCCCAGCGCGTGGCACGATACCAGGCTGGCTAAAAGGATAAGGAGCATCCATCACCATCTCCTGGTTTTGAAGTGAAAAGCAAACAGTCTACCCCAAAGGCCTTCACAGTCACTGGAGGTCATCTGGGAACAGTTTGGTAGAAAACGCACATGAGTTCAGTTTCTCACTCTCATTGGTCCTTCTTCATCTTAGAGAGCAAGGACGCTACGAACGGGGCTCGTGGCCTTACTACTAGGAGCAAGGACGCCACTTGGAGCTCCTGGCATCGCTACTAGGAACAAGAAGCTATTAGAAACAATGAATACATAAAATTAAAGCTACTAGGAACAAGTGCATCGCTACTAGTAACAAGTGCCTTACTAGTAGTAACAATGTTTGCTATTAGAAACAATAAATGCGTAAAATTAAAGCTACTAGGACCTTTTCATCGCTTTCATCTTCTCGCTGAAGGACCGATCGCGCCTGCAAGCGTCGCCACATGTCCGGCTTCTGCAAGCTGCTGTAGTCGGGCACCTCGTTGCCTTTCGGGTTAGAACATGTCTAGGCACGCCGGGTTGAGAGTAGGCGATTGAGAGTAGTGGATTGAGAGTAGTGGTGTGCACAGACCCCGATGTTTGTGGTTTATATATGGACCCCCCATCTGTCTAAGACGTCTTCGGATGGTGCCATCTACTCTGAAACCACTGTCAGATATGTCGGCCTCAAGATGGAAGGAACAACAGAACGGATGACATCGGTGAAAGCCGAGACTTGGGACCCAAGTGGCTGACAAAACGGTAGGATTCCGTAGCATTTGGATCCTATAGACAGGTCTACTTGTTCCGTTTCTGTGGCGCGACAGATGGGCGAGGCAACTTGACGGATCCCTCGATCTGCCCCACACGGCAGTCTCAGCATTTGTCAATCAGGCGCAAAGGCGTGCTCCCAAATCGCTTGCACCTGTACCCTTTCGATGCTCTGACAGAGACGGCGCCGGTCCAAACGGCGCACGTGTCCAAGAAAAAGAGCGAATCAATCGGAACTTCTGAAAAAGTAAGAAGAAGCTACTATAGTAGCTCCTGGCATTACTAGGAAGAAGAAGCTTCTAGTAACAAGGTGCATCGCTACTAGTAGTAACAAAGCGCATCGCTACTAGGAGCAAGGACGCTACTAGGGGCTAGTTACTAGGAAGAAGAAGCTTCTATATAGTAACAAGTAACAAGGTGCATCGCCACTAGTAAGTAACAAGTTGTCTTTCTAATAAAACAGAAACCACCCGGGCCCGGAGCAGCAAAACAGGGCGTTTCACCGCCACCCATGACGACCCTTCCTTCACCACAGACCGTCGGGTCGTGCGTCTCAAAAGAAAAGGCTTCCCTGACTTCGACTTCGTTGAACATTGAGCAATGTTTTTATTATACATGTTATATTATATTACATTTTAATATATTATATCATATTATATATCAATGTATAGATTTAGTATAAATATTTAAGACAATCTTTTTTGTTCACGTTGTCTTTAATTCCCTTCGTGTCGGGGTCGAGGAAGTGTATTGAAGATCTGATCGTAATTGTCCGGCAGTGCTTTCATCCAGCGCTCGGTCTTCGCACGGATGAGGCCATAGCTGGGCACACCGTTCGGCACGTTCTGGATTGCTCTCTGCAAGAGGTCGTTGGGCCACCGCAGCCGCTGAGTCCCTTCGGACACGGAACGCCCCTCGATGCGACTCAAAAGGCCCGGGATGGCATTCGGATCCACGACGGCTAGGATCAACACCTTGGGCATGGTGAACACCCTAAACGGTTTGGTGAACATCTCGAGACATGCGTTTTTGGTTTGACCAAAAAAAAGAAGGATCTGAGCTCAGACACCCATGTGGCATAGACCTCCAGAGACAGGCTGCCAAACTTGCAAAGGTCTCTTTGCCCACTTTGGAAGAAGTAATCCTCCCACCATCTCAGGCGATCCTCGTTCCACACAGCCTTCACCTAGCGAGTGCTCATGGTATGGTCTCCGGGTCCAACGGTCCCGACACCGGACACCGAAGCCAAACAGGTCATCTACCAGGACCAGACACCGTCGGGGTGTCTAGGCAAGAGGCCCCAAAGTGTCCATTAACCACCCCGCCTGGGGGTCCTGGTATATAACCGTTTTTACATGGTGAAAAACCGCTAAACAGCGGAACGAAGCAGGTTGTCGCTTTCTCGCCTGCGACCTGAAGCAGGTTTGATCCACCAGCGCTGCACCGAGCAAGTGCCACAAGGGCTCATCCTGGGAGTCTCATTCGGAGTAGCGATGCCCTTTGTTACTAGAAGCTTCTTGTTCCTAGTAGTAAGGCCAGGAGCCCCTAGTAGCGTCCTTGCTCCTACTAGCGATGCCCTTTGTTACTAGTAGCTTCATCTTGTTTCTTTGGGTCGGATCCTTGCAAATGGCCCGAAAGCTTTACGACACGTTGGGACACCGTCATGCAGCACCCGTCATGCACATATTATTGATGCTTAGAGAAACTGAAACACTGGACACAAGCAGAAGTGCGATGAGACCACTCAAAGTTGCAGCTTCATCTTTTTACAAATTGCTCCAGCATTCTTGGCGACCAAGGGTCTTCTGGATAAATCTCCAACAAGTCTGCCAAACACACTAGCTCGGTCTCCAGCTCGATTGGCGTCTCCTCACAGCGGCGCAGTGGTGATGGCTGCTCCTCCGTCCGCGCAGTGCGGCGGGCGCAGTCATGGCGACTGGCCGAAACGGTTTTGCGCCTCTTCTGCTTCTTCGGAACCACCACCTCCGCATTCTCATCCTGGGCATCTGTGTCTGGATGTGCTCTTGCTCGCCTGAGGGCGGCGACCGGCTCTCTTTGAGGAAGCAGGTCCATCAATAGATGGAGCGGCCCGAAGTCTCGTTCGGGGCCGAGGGGAATCCGGTACATGAATGGAAGCAGTCGGTTGATCTCGCGTTGAAGCCACCCTTGAAGAGCTTCCTTCTCGGCATCTCCCTTGCAAGCATTCCACAGGATATTCAACCGTATCAAGCAATCGAAGTTCAGTTCAATGTCAATGTTAGGTCTTCGTGTCAATTCTAACAGACTCTTCAGCTTTTGGTAGCTTTCAAGCATCTTCTCCTTCGTATCCATGATTTCTCGCACCTTGCTCATGATAGTCCTACTGTAGTCCAGGTCTATTGCCAATTGTATCATCTTTTGATCTTCTTCCCGTTCAGTCTCTGGCAGCTTCTCCTCTCGCTCTTCCTTACCCCAACAAAGGAAAGAGCAAGTTGGATGCATGGCTTCTCCAAAGAGTCTCTTGGTGCTCACTTCGATTGCACCGTACTTCACACGCTCACGCCTGCGCACCACCGTCTCGCGAGCCTTTTGCTTCTGCAACACATTTGGTGCCAAGATCTGCTTGAAGCGCTTGGCCATCCAAGCGCCCAGCCACAAGCAGCCAACCCCATAGGTACGCTTAGGGATCCCTCCCGTGTGGTCAATGTAGAACACCTTTTGAGGATCTCGCATGATGCGGCCCTCTCGCCGAGAGAAAGCTCGATCTTGAAAAAATACTCTTGCTTTACTATCAGAAGCTGCTTTGTGTGCCTGTTCCCGATGCTCTTTCCGCAGGTCCTTCATGATGGAGGACAAGACCTTACAGATGACAGCTGGCGTTTCCTCCTTGGAAAAAATCCGATGGATGTCATAGTCCAAGAAGAAATGCAACCTGGAAATATCCTTCTCAAGGTGTGTTTTTCTCTTCACGTTTCGGTCCACAACTTCTACAAAAGCATCTTTGAAGGTCTTGTAGGGCTCCTCCTGGAAGTCCTCCACAGACATTCCGAGCCAAACAAAGCCCGCAAAGTAGTAAAACCAGCCCTGCATCGAGAGCTTCTGAACCATGTTCTTCACGTCAAGCACCAAGAGATCTTGTAGCGTCTTGCTGCGGTCACGACGAAGACCCTGAACGGGTCTAACGCGACTGTCATGTCTTCTAGCTCCGTGTCGGGAGCTGGCCCTTTGGGGTCATTCTTGAAGGACAAAGCGGTCAAACCGGGATACATCATGGGGTTCTGAATGAGACCAACCTACTAGCGACGGCCTCCAACCTAATAGCTTTTCTTGCTACTAGTAGCGATGGCCTCCAATGGATTGGGTCCCAAAACGAGGGAACTCTGTCTTGAAAAACCCGACACTGCACGGCACTCTGTCCGGCCAACACGGCGCCTGCTTGGAGGCTTTCATCGGAAACCGACCCCGTTGGCAAACACGACGCTTCAGTCCACACACGCATATCCAGTCTCCAAAATCCATTTGGAGAGCTGCCTGGTGGAAAGGCTGCTTCCCAGCCATGATCTCCTCTGCTTCTCAGGACCCCACTCTTGAGCCCAGTTTTGACACCAAAATCGAAGTGGCTGTAAGGAAAATCACCAAACTTACAGCATCAACCCCCCAACTCAGGGTGTGGCACCGAGCATTGTTATTTCGGCTTTGTGGGGGGATTCGTAGAGCTGCACTGTCTTTCCCTTTGCCCTGACCAAAAAATCACGGAACAACAGAAAAACAAATAAAGCGTCTGCTCTGCTGCCTGGCCTCTGGTGGACATCTCAAGTCGAGACCACCATGTTTTTCATGCTCGGTGTTCCATTCTGGCCACCGGAGGCCTGTGCGGGTTTCGTTCAGGAACAAATCCTTCATCAGTTCCATTCGCTGCCTCAAGACGTTTTGGTCACAAGCAAGATGATGCAAATTGCGTTGTGCTTCAACCTCATCAGGATCTCGAGTTGGGACAAATGTCATCGACTTTCCGTCCATTCTGAAATTCCACTGGGTGGGCCACCTGGTTTTGAGGAGCTTGGTGGCTCGGCATGTTTTCTTGATCTGTTTTGCTGACCGCGCTTTCAACCTGAAGGCAGGTTGTTCACAAACGTCCATCCCGAAAACGACTCCCAACCAGAGAAACGGCCAAACTCGATTTTGCAACATGTCTTTTGGACGGAAGGTGCCTGAAGGTGAGCCGGCGCCTTGCCTTCCCCTTTCGTTTGGCGCGCTCAAAAAGCTTGAGGCGCAATCTCCTCGACTGGGGAGCCGGCATAGCAACCAAGCGCACGTGGAGAGGCTGCTGCACTGATGCGTCGTTTCGTGCATTTCTTCGTGCATTTCTGTCTTCCGCTTCAATGTCAGAACCAAATAGATTGAACGATTGAACTATGACCATCTGATTTTTTTGATGTGGTTCTGCTCACTTGAGAGACAAACTTGAACCTGCAGGTGCACACACATCAGAGATATGTCCACGTCAACTGGGATCAGTCCTTTATAGCTATGCTGCTCCCATGTAGAATGTGTTTGTTGGCTCGACACCTTTCGGCAACAGCGAACGAGGCTTGCTGTCTTTTTCGTGATCGCTAAGACGAGGTTAAGGGTCGCAAGTTCCGGAGCGGGTGCTACACCAACATGCCGCAATGTTGTGATGCTCCCACGGCACATTATTCTGCCAGGCCTTTGCTGGATGTTTCTATCATGTTTCCGTAATTTGTTTGCAACTGACCTTGGCCTTACTACTAGGAACAAGGACGCTCCTGGCCTTACTACTCGGCCTTGGCCTGATGGTCGTTCACTCCTCTCTCGTTGTTTTTCTTTCCCAACTTTGCGGTTTTCACCTTGACCAACCTTTGCGGGTTTGACGGAGTCGGTCGCGAGCTCGAAGCAATTGAGTGAGGCGGACACTGGTCCTGGTCTGGGGTTGAGAGACTCAGTTTGACTGCTTCCCTTGCTTTCTAGGTTGGATGACAGTCTCAGGAAACTATTAAAGCCCGGAAGCCGAGTAAGAAAACTCAAATGGCTGAGTCAGGAAACCTGTGAAAGAATCCAAAGTCTTGGGAAGGTCCCTAACTTGGAAGCACGATCCAAAGCCGCGAGTCAGAGAACTCGAGTGGAAACATTCTGGGCCGGAGGGACGCGGGGTCTAGAAAGGTTTGAACTATGAGTCAGCGGAGAAGGGTATACTACTGGTAGCAAGGGCACTTCTAGGTTGGAGGCCAGCACTATTAGGTTCCTTTTGCTAGTAGTGGTATTGGAAACGGATCAGGAAACGGATCGGTCTTTTGTTGAGGAGCGAGAAAAAATCCAGCGAGCGTGGTTGGCCTTGGGGTGCGAAGCGTGACCGGCTTCTTGCGCAATTTGATTGGACGCACGGCTTCCTGAAGCCTCACCAGCCAGGTTGGAAGCTAGCCCACATCATATCCCTAGAAAACTTCGTCTTAAGCTCCAGGTCCCGCATGGCGGAGGGAGTATCTAGAGCACGGGCTCCAAGACGAACGGCGCTACATCCATATACGGTCTACTCCCTGAGGTGGGAACGTGATCAAAGGCACACCGACGGAACGACGGAAGGTCTGTCATGCTCAAAGGGTCAACGACGTCCATGAGGTCAACCCATGAGCGAATGCCAGACTGTGGAACCTCGAAAAGACATACCTCCTCAGGTGACTGGACGAAGAAGCCATCCTCCGCGTCCACCATGTTGGACGGCAGGACAATGGCAAACAGAGACACTGAAAAGAGCTCCAATTCCGCGAGGCACCCGACCAATCCCTACCTCGAAAAGACAAGCCCTTCATGGTCTGCAAATCCACCCGTGTCCGGCCGTGGTGTCCGTTTGAGTGTGTTTCTCCAAAGCCGCAACGGTTTGGCCCACGCCTTTGAACCAGGATTTGCTGCTCGGCGGAAACTGCCTGGGTCGATCGACAGAGCGCAGCAAGAGGTGCGAAGTGGGCGGAGTGAGCTGGGATGATGAGTCCAAGTACCATGATGAGTCCAAGCTGCACATAGCTTCCCTCAAAAACTGTTGCTCTTTCAATCTTCATGTCTCAAACAAGTCTTACAGAGTCCTCTAGTCCTCTCTGGTGAAGGCCATTACTTGTAGGTGGGAGGCCATTGCGCTTACTCTCCCGGGCTTTAAAACTCAGATTGTCGTGTGGAACCCCAACGGAATCTGAGGGGGCCTCTCTGATCGGGGGCTTTTCTGATCGAAGGATCTCAGCTCTGCCCGTCTTGTTCCGCCACGAATCGCGTCCGATCGCTCCGTTCGTAGCCATGCCCTTTGTTCCGTTCGGAGCGTCCTTGTTACTAGTAGCTATATCTGCTACTAGTAGTATTGCACTTGTTGCTAGTAGCGATGCACTTGCTACTAGTGGCAAGAAGCTAGTAGAAAGGATTTTCCGCGATCCGGATGTATTTTCAGGGAAGCGACACACATCTCCTAAAATAGACTTAGGGATACTTAGGGCAAAATAGGTGTGGGTCAAAACCTGGAGCTTCCAAACTCTGGTTGGTTGACCCAAAATGTCTCCCGATGTTGACCCGCCATAGTCTCACTGTTGACCCGCCGCGGTCCGCTTCGACGTTCACGTCCCCCGCTCCACCCACTCGACCTCTCTCGCTCGCCCAGGGGCGGGTCTTGGAAAATGTCCTTCACCTGGCGGGACAGGAAGCGTCCTTCTAGTTCCTAGCTTCTTGTTCCTAGTAGCTTCTTGTTACTACTAGTAAGGCACTTGTTCCTAGTAGCTTCTTGTTACTACTAGTAAGGCACTTGTTACTAGTAGCGATGCACTTGTTCCTAGTATCATCTTTTATCTATAGGTGTAACGGCTGGAAAGAAAAAGACCTGTTGGGGGCTGGTAGAGAGACCCCATCGTTCTTTTCATAGCCCATCCCCCATGCTCTTCCCAAAACCTGCCTTCGCGGTGCGGGTGTGAGGGCTGTAATCTTGACCCACACGGCCGCCCGTCTCTTGGAAGATCTGGTCTTTCATCTTCTCCATGCGAGTCTCCTGCAGTTCATCAAAAAAGGAACCTCTCATGTGTCCCGGAGGGCTTTGGATTTGCTGGAATCTTCCAATTTCAGATCATCTGAAGAGAAACAAAGAAGAACACGAACCTATCAGACACATCGTCAAAGAGAACCACTCCTCACGTTTTCACTCGCTCGTCTCCGCCCTCTCCCCCCCGAGCATTGAACCGAGGACGAGAGAACTCTCCTGGACGAGGCGCTGCTCCTCGCTCCATTGGCCACTGAATTCGCCGCTGATGAGCCGGAAGGCCTCGGTCCATTGAAACTCCTAGCGGCCGAAGAAACCGAAGGCGCACCACTCGACCAACGAAAACACACCGAGTTCGGCAGCGTCACCGGAACGTAAAACTGCACCTGGCATTCCACCTCTTACGATCTTCTAGGCAAACATCAAACATCTGAACCGGCCGAGGGCTAAGATCCAACGTCCACTGCTTCTCACCCATTGGGCAAACCTGCAAGCTGCTACCCGAAACAACCGCACCCGCCCCGAGTCTGACCGAGTCTGACCAAATCCGGAGGTGACGGACGGACGCCTCGGCCATCTGTTGGATGCACATGTTCCAGTTGTTTTCACCTCAGGGGTCGCTCGTTTTGGATCGAAAAAAGGGAGCGTTCGGAGTTTTTTTGGGGGTCACCCTGCATTACCCAGAAGGGGTTCAAAGGAAACCGCTCAATCTGTTCTAAACCGTTAGAGCTCGGTGCTAGCCAACGCAATCATGGAGAATCTAAAAAATCCTCCAAACCCAATGGGCACGAAAAAAGATGAAAATCTGTAAATCTTCATCCTGGAGACCCACATACCAATAAGAGATGATCGGCGCAGGGGCTGCAACCACCTCAGACCGCGAGACCGTCTGCATGGCGCCCCTCCGCGGCCGCTCCGCGGCGCAGGCTCTGCGCCACGGAGAAAGCGCTTGAGGCTGAGAAGAGTGGGCGAGCGCGGTCTGCCCGCGGTCTGCCCGCGGTCTGCGCGCCGAGAAGAAAACGGCGAATGATCGTTTGGGAAAGCTTGGCCTATACAACTAGTAGCTTCTTGTTCCTAGTAATGCCCGGAGCGCACCTAGTAGCGTCCTTGTTACTAAGTAGCGATGCCCTTGGTTACTAGTAGCTTCTTGTTACTAAATCGGATGAAGCGATGTTCAACACTGGTCAACTCACAGTTGTACTTTCGGAAAGGCTGTTGGGGGTTCTCATTTTTCAGGCACCAAAACTGTCATCATCTGTAATCCATCAAGCATCATCAACCCACCCTGCCCGAAATGAGGATCGACAAGGACGAACTCTTCAAATATGGTGCCACACAGTGGTGTTTTGTGAAGAAGCTCGAGTGCTTTGTGTGTACAAACGAAATGGAATGGATCACTGGATACCTAATTGGGGCGAAAAGACCGGCCCAGGAGCATCGTCTAGTTCGTCTAAGCTTATCCCATTCTTCCCATCAACCTCCGCTTGGGGATCTTCGTTGCAATTCCAATCTTCCGAGCCCAGAACTACTTCAGTACCATTGGCCTCGGCTTGGCAGGGCAGCAGGAGCGACAGCAGCTCAGGGGGACGAATGCTTCCTTCCACCCTCGAGGTGGATGTTTGATTCGATGTTTGGATTCCATGGTCTTCTGAACCTGCTGAAGTGGATGTTGTGAAATAGCTGAACCTGCTTCGTTCGCTTCTCTGCTTGGTTCTTTCCACCACGTAGCAGTCATTTGGTCGAGTCAAGGTGCTATGCGGTGGCGTCAAATGAGCTGGTTCGAAGCATCAATCAACGCAACACCGAAGCAAGCTGGCTTATGAGAAAGGGAGAGTAGCAAAGGCAACACCAAGTGCACTCTCGGAGTCATAAGCTACAAGTAGATGATGAAAGCAGCTGTTCAAACATGACACCAAAATGAATGAAAAATGCAGGTGGTACTGGGAAGATGATGACCATTCCTCGAAAATCAGCAGCCCGTCCTACTAGCGATGGCCTCCAACCTAGACGTGATGGCCTCCACGTCATGGGTACTGTACCATCCTCCACACCTGAATGGGCATCTACCCGTCTTCGCCCAGGCACCATCCATGCAGCTCCAAAGTTCTCACCCGAGATCGTCACCTCCCTGGAGAGCGAACCAGGTGGCGAGGTAGGGCCCCAAGGCCGGAGAGTGATGTGAGGGTGGACGGTGTTGGAGAATGTGAGGATGCTGCTTCCACTCACCACCCGGTTTGGTCCTTCTGGCACACCTCTTCTGGACGGCAGTGAAACACAAGTATGGCCGCAACTTCAGAACTGAAGATCATGGCCAGTCTAGTCCACAACCCTCCTCATGTGAAACACAACTGCAGAAGTGGCCCTCGCTGGGCTTCCCCACGTCCCACCCCGTGCGGTGCCGTTGCTCGGGCTGATGCCCGTCACCGTGGGCCTCGCGATCGTCGTTCCCTTCGTTCCGTCGTTCGTGGTGTCCACCGGTTGCACCGTTCCCGGTGTCCATCCCGGTCATGGCCCGGTCGTCCGTTCGCCGGATCCGTTTCGGCCAAACGGGGGGGTCACACACCCCTTCTCCGAGCGGCGCGTTTCTTCGGACTCGCTCTCTCTCTCTCGACCGGTGGGAGTCGATCTTCGACTTCGCTCCGAGCATTGCACGTTTGGCTCAAAGAGAAGGTCACCGTGGCATTCGCATCGCCGGCGATCCACCTCAGAACAGCTCAGGTTAGCGCCCAACAGCTCAGGTGTAGCCTGGTTGTTTGGTTTGTGCTTTTGGCCACGTGGCAGTTTCTCATGGCCAACAGGTGAAAAGAACTGACCAAATGATGCAACAGGGGTGATTGGTGGCCCTCGTCTACCTTAATCTCCGACGCTCTTTAGGACTTACATGACCCGAAAAGAACCTGTCCCTCTACGAAGACCAAATCATGAAGGAAACACGTCAGTCTTGCCAACTCTACGAATCTGCCAATCTCATCTTTGGGCCCTTGTCAATATTGCCTATATGCCCTCATAAACCCATGAGCCTGCCTAAACAGCTCAAATCTTTAGCATCCCTCAATAACTGGAGAACCGAAGAGAAAGAAAAGAACAAATCTTCATCCACATTCATCCTCCGATCCTTCTTCACCCTCCTATCTGCCAAGTTTTGGGGTCTCTTCACTTTCACCCCCCAGGACTCACTTTCACCCCCCGAGGACTTGGGCCCTCCCTCGGGCGCTGGCGGCGTCGCGACTTGCAAGAACTCCGCGAAGGGATGAATTCCTCCACGCCAGGCCTCGAACGCCACGAACCGTCCGGACTCGGCGAACCGTCCGGACCCCGGGCGCATCGCGCTCCGCGTGTCCGGCGTGGACGTGTCCAAGGACGCCTGCAGAACGGAGGCGGGCAGGGCATCGCGACTTGGAGGGAGCGATCGGACCGCTACGAGGTAGGGGCTCCTGGCCTTACTACGAACGGAACAAGGACGCTTTTACCAGGCATCTACCCTTCAGACTTCGAACACTGGAGGCCAGGCTACACAGGGTCACCACAGGGTCAGGTACTTCGAGCATCCAACGAAGCTCGGGCCCCAAGCAGTGCGCCCCAAGTTCATGTGCAGACCTTGAGCCGTGGAGGTGCGTACCTCAGAGTCAACTCCGGTGTGCTGAAGAAAGCAAGTGAAGACCATAGAGGATCCACAACGTTTGGATGAACAATTCTATAAACGACAAAAATGTCGACATATGCTGCAAATGCATATCTATTAATACATTAATAGTACAGTGTGTATATATATATATATATAGATATACATATATATATATATATAATCACATGATGCATCTCCATCTCCGCGAATTAAGTCTCCCCCTTTTGTCTGTTCGAACTCTCGGCCATCCGATCCGTCGTTCCACCGCGGCACGTTACGCACCGCCACTTGACACGTCTCGGACGGCGCCACCAACTGGCCGATCACCTGCCACCGAGGAAGGCGAGCAAAGCACAACAGTTTGGGGTGCTGTCGTAGGTCTCAAAAAGCTACTAGGAACAAGGGCATCGCTACTAGGAGCAAGGGCCTTACTAGTAGTAACAAGAAGCTAATAGAAACAATAAATAGAATTTAATTAGAATTAAGAGTAATTAGAATCTTCTCTCTTCTCTCTTGTCTCCTCTTCCCTTCCCTTCCCTTCTCTTCTCTTGTTCTTGCAGCTACTGCGGTTGTCGTTGAGGGGCAGATTCTACCCCGCTGAGTCTACCCGGTAGAATAAACAAGCCTAGTCAACAGTGATAACATCACTGACTGAACAAACTGCAAAACACGTGTGCATGCCTCCTCCTTTCAGCCAAAAGTGGGTTCTGGTCTCCCATCTTCAATTCAGCCACTCAAAAGTCTTGTGGCAAAAAAAAACAACATCTGAGAGAATCTATCAACATGTTTTTCAGAAACAAGCGTCACATCACCAAACTCAAAGGGAGAAACCTCAGGAAAAATAGCCTCCCTTCTCCTTTTGCTTCTCTCCAAACAGCGCTCCAACACTGAGCGCTTTCTTTCAAGCGCCACCTGCATCTCGGTGAGCTGACAGTTCCCAGTGGGCGAGGTAAAGCGAACAAAGCGTCCGGTGACCGGGGAGTCCAACCTGGGCTGACGGAGCGTGAGAGAAGCAACGGATCTCCAGGAGAAAAAGAAAGCTTCTTAGCTATTAGTAGCGATGGCCTACCTACTAGCGATGGCCTCCAACCTACTTCCGATGGCCTCCAACCTAGTAGCTTCTTGCTACTAAGCTTTAGATACTGGAGGAAACTCTTGCTTCTTGTGCCAAAGGAAACATGCCAAGATCAAAGAATTCACACATCCAGTTGGGTGTCCATGTCCCCGGACGTGACTTCGTTCCACAGCATCTTTGGCGTGACCCTGGAAGGCACGGTGCACGGTGATGCCACGGCGCAGGTCGCGGATGGTTACGGACCGTGGGTTTGGAGGTAAGAACACAATGACATCTTGATCCACCGAATCAGTTCTGGAACAT